CCGAGCCTCCCTCAGCCCACCCCCTCGGGCGCTTGTATTGAGAAGGGAATGGAAATAGGGAATGACCCTAACCAGGCTATTCAAGTATAAGTAAGGAATGAAAATAGGAATGGCCCTAACCAAGCTGTTCAAAGCTTGAGATTGGAAAAGAAGAACGATCATAAGCAGGATGTTCGGAGTGGTCCCTGACAAGGGTCATTCTTTGGAATTGGCACTGGGGTCCCCTTGCATGGCTGCTTGAGACGCATGATATTGAAAGAGCTGAGCCTTGGAAAAGGACATTGGAAAGACGGAGCCCTGAAAAGATATTGGACTCAGCCTTGGAAAGGATATTGGACTCAGCCTTGGAAAGGACACTGGACTCAGCCTTGGAAGAGATAATCGCATCAAGCATTGGACTGAGATTAAGCATCGGAATGAGACTGAGCATTGGAATTGGATTGAGTATTGAAAATTGCATTTCATAAATAGGGGACCCTAGGCAACTTGAAATGGATTTGGAAATGGCATTGAAATGGATTTCCTTTTTCTTCTAGTCTTTGGCGTCAGCGAGAGGGGGATACCGGTGCACGCACCGCGACCCAAGACCTTTATCCCTTTGAGGGAAAAAGTCTCAGCGCGACTTGCTCCTCCTTTAAGAGGATGAGGGTTAAAGGACTAAGGCACCTACCACTTGGATCGGTGCGGGACGTTCGGAACTGACGCTGACAATGAGCTCTAGTCGGGGAGTTCAAACTGCGCCTCCTGTTGAATGCCTAAACGTCAACGAGCGAGAGAGTCAAATGGGCAAGGAAGTCATTCTCATCTAGTCTATTTTGTCCTCTCCAACCACACGCCATGTCATAGAGGGGTGCCATGGCTGTTTGGGTCGGACCTCGGCTGCCCGCACTAAGTTGGGTGGCACTATCCAAGGGGAGGGGTTTGGCGGAGTACCGGGTGGAATCCGCGGCCACCACGGGGCATTGACACTGCCCTGCCGGAGCATTACAACCGCTTCGGGACTAATTGCGAGGTCTTCGTAACTGCACTCGCGAACTAATTGAGAGCCCCAACTCTCTTGGATTGGAAGAGGCCGGATTCGCAAAACATACCACTTTGGGAGAAACGATTCGCGAGGGGGCCACTCTCGGGCAGGATGGGGTCCTGGGAGATAGGGACTAGACCTGTCTCACGGCTGCGAGGAGGCACCTCAATGATGATGCCTATCTCCGAGTTAGTGGCTGCCGGACTAGGGTAGGGGATGAGGTGAGTTATCAACAAGGGAAGGACTGATCACCCTTCCTCTTGCTGATGGGCCGGCATCCGCTTACTCAGTCGGCAGGCAAGGTCTGCGTACCTCCAAGTGAGAATCTGTAACGCAATGAGGACATTG